ACAGAGTAGTTAAGTTCTCATCCCAGACTTCCTCCCTAACCTGGCCTCAGAGACCAGAATCTAGAGTTTTCAGCTGCCCAGGATAGTAGTGAATTATTCGTGTTTTGTTTTTTTTATTTTTTTATCTTTTTTTAAAATTTTATTTATTTATTTATTTATTTATTTATTTAGGATTTCTGCCTCCTCCCCGCAACCGCTTCCCATTTCCCTCCCCCTCCCCCGATCAAGTCCCCCTCCCTCATCTGCTCGAAGAGCAATCAGGGTTACCTGACCTGTGGGAAACCCAAGGACCGCCCACCTCTATCCAGGTCTCGTAAGGTGAGCTTCCAAACTGCCTAGGCTCCCACAAAGCCAGTACGTGCAGTAGGATCAAAAACCCACTGCGATTGTTCTTGAGTTCTCAGTATTCCTCATTGTCCGCTATGTTCAGCTAGTCCGGATTTATCCCATGCTTTTTCAGACCTAGGCCAGCTGGCCTTGGTGAGTTCCCGATAGATTGAATAAGTAAAACTTGCTTGGAGATCAGAGGGCAAAGCAGCCACACTAGTCAGCCATACAGACCAGGGGGTGGTAGTACACACCTTTAATCCAAGGACTCTGGAAACAGAGGCAGACGGATCTCTGTGAGTTCAAGTCAGTGGAGTGTGGAGTCTGAGGATTCGTAGACAGGATCTCCCCTTTTGATCTGAAGATTTGGAAGATTTGGTAGAGGTTAAAGGTCTTCTAGTAGTTGACTGTTTTGCTTTTCTGATCTTCAGCTTGAACACCAATATCTGTCTCTGGGTTTTTATTATTCATGCTGCAGCCCAGCGTGGCTCTGAGGCCCAGGCACTGTCACCCTGGGTTTCACACTCCCATGATCCATTGCAACCATGTGAAGCATGAAGAATAAAAACTCAGAGAGAGAAACTGGGTTCAACCTGAAGATCCAAAAAGCAAAGCAGCCAGCCACTGACTGACCTTGACCTCAGTCTGAAATGGCGATCCTGCCTTCAGGAATCTCAGAATGAGACTGCACCTGTGAACTGGCTCCTCTCATTTTATAATCCTCTCTAGGGCTGGGATTACAGGCATGCACCACTGGCATTAAGGCATGCACCGCCAGTTTCTATGGCAACTACTGTGGCTACAGGGATTAAAGATGTGTTACTACTGCTTGATCTTTAAGGCTGACCAGTGGGGCTGTTTTACTTTTCTGATCCTCAGGCAAGTTTTATTTATTAAAATACAAGTGAAATACCACTACATTTCCCCTTTCTGTCTAAAATAAAAAGAAGGCCATAACTTATGTAAGAAAAGCTATATACAATAAGTACAATAAGTATATACAATATGTAAGGCAATAAATACATCAACAATAACTAGTCCATTTGTATTTGACAAATTCAGAGAAAATACTCCATATCTGTCCTATCTTGGTGAGTTCAAAGTCTTTTACTTAATTTACTTTCTATCATAACCTGATTTCTGTGTTAGGTAAACAAGGAAAACAATAGCTATAACTATGTATCTAGTCTTTAACTCCCTGAGAGACCCAAGAAGGAAATAATATTAACTGAGTAAGCAGGAAGTGCAAGCAGGTGACTTCCAAAAAAATGTGAGTAATGAGAGAAACAGCTGGCTGCCTGGACAGTCACCCCAAGTTCCTCTGCAATGTTGGGGCATCCATCTTTGGTCTATGGGCCTAGTATATCCGACAGACTTCTGTGAAGCAGGACATTTTGTGTCCTGCTTGTCTAATTAGGACAGTCGAGGCAGGGGCATTTTCTTGCCCAGTGGCTTACTTTTGCTACTGTTAGGGTCTGAGAAAAGCCCGCAAAGAAGACCAACAACCACTTATACAATAGCAAGAGCGTTTTATTGATTCCAACATTGGGGTGTCAAAAGAGTCACCCCCAAAGTAGCCTAGAAGTTCCTTTTCAGCAGAGTTAGGGGAATTTTGAAGAGGAGGGATTAATCTGGGGTTGATTCATGAAGGAAAGATTAGTATGGGGGCTGATTGGTGGAAGGTCCTAGTGGTTAGGGAACTTCCAGCAGCAGGGTAGGGAAAGCTATCTTTAGCCTGTAGAAGTCTGGCAGGGGGATCTGCTGAACCAGCAGAAGAGCTTTAGGGACCTGCTGAGCCAGGCCAGCAGAAGGACTTGTGGGGGTGCTTGCTGATAGTTACCCGTAAGTTGTGGTTTTCATGAGACCTGCTTGCTCAGCTCTGTCCCAGTCTAGCGAAGTGAAACTAAGGTGTGGTCTCTGTCAGGGCTATGATCTGCTGCTCCTCTGCCAGCCTTTTAGCCACAAAGAAACTAAACCTCACGTGGAGTTTCTTTGATGCCCATTATCTTCTCTGAAGTAGATTGGTGCTTCCAGGAGCAGACATGTCTCATTGTCATGAAAAAGAAGAACCTAGGTTATTAAAACATCTTAAATGTCACATTCTGTAGATCTCTGAAGTGTTTGAAGATGACCTATCTATCTAAAATATATCTGACCATGAAAACATATCTAATATGACTACAAGTTCAATTATACTGGGTGATTAACTACTAACCTATGTTTTCTTATTATTGTAAACAGTTGGTAATAATTTTCAGGGACTAGAAATTTGCATTACATTGTTAAATGAGCTGTATTGGTACAATAACTTGAACAAGATTAGAAATGTATGTACAGTATGTTTTAACAAAAATAACCTCAAATTTGTATTAATATACAAAATTTGTATACAATATACAAAAATCCAATCCAATGTAAAACATTTAAAACTAGTAGTTGCTTTTTAAAAGTAAATTCAATAACCTACCTTTTTATCTTATACCTATATCCTCCCTTTTTCTTTTCAGAGTAAATTTAATAATCTACCCTTTTATCCTATCATATCTATATTCCCTCCCTGGAACTCGCTCTATAGACCAGGCTGACCTTGATCTCACAGAGATCACTTGCCTCTGCCTTCCTAATGCTGGGATTAAAGTTGTGTGCCACCACCACCTGGCCTTTTTTTCTTTTTAAAACAAGATCATATCTATATCCTCCCGTTTTTCTTTTCAGAGTAGATTCTATAATCTACCCTTTTCTCTTATCATATATATCCCCCCCTTTTTTTTCAAAACAAGAACCTTGAATCTAATCTCCTTTGTTAGCTTTTTCCCTGACCATTATCCATAACAGCTTGTAGCCAACACACTAAACAAAGACAAACATTTGTAATCCATTCTTCGGGAATGTGGATATGGTTTTCTAGGCTACTTCCTACTGATTGGGAGCACCGATAATCTTATGAGAAGCCAAAGAAAATTTAGGATTATGGTCAAGTCCTGACTGGAATATTCTGTGAGGCTGAATCATCTCAGCCCGTTTCTGGAGTAGAACTCAGAAGAAGCAGCAACAGAGGTGCTCTGAAACACTGGATCAGCTGGGTGGATGGGAACAAATACCCAAGAGACGTAACTAAGAGGAGGAAAATGGCCTTCGGGGTGATCAAGCTGGCAGAGTGTTGGCCTGGGGTGCATGAAATCCTGGGTTTGATTCCCGGAATGTACACAGAACATGGCAGTACATGCCTGTAATGCCAGTACTGGAAAGTGAAGGTGGGAGAATCAGAAGTTCAAAGTCATGCTTGGCTATATAGGGAGTTCAAGACCAGCATGGGATATATAAGATCCTATCCCAAACAGACAAACAGATGGACAAAAATCATGTGCCCTTTAGGTCTAGCTTAATCCAAACAAATATTTACAGGAAATGTTTATTTTCCTCTTCCTTCTCCTTCTCTTTTGAGACACGGTCTCTCTACACAGCCCTGCCTGACCTGGAAATTGCTATGAAGGCCTGGCTGGCCTTGAACTCATAGAGATGTACCTGCCTCTGCCTTCTGGGTGCTGGGATTAAGGGTGTGCATTATCTCTGGTATACATATATACATACGTGCATGCACACATACGTGAAACATTTACTTTTTGTTGATGTCTCTCTGTGTACTGCACATGCATCCAGGTGCCTGTGGAAGGCAGAGGAGGGCATTGGATCCCCTGGAACTGGAGTCACGAGCCATTGTGAGTCACCTGTTGTGTGTACTAGGAACCAAACTCAGGTTGTCTACAAGAGCAACAAGGGCTCTTAACCACTGAGGCATCTCTCCTAATTTAAAAAGGAGTTTTACATTTTTATTTACTTTTGCTGGGAGGGGGTGGTGGGGCACTGTGCCCCAGGCACACCTCTGGAGGTCAGAGGACAGTTTGAACAACCATGTTTTCTCCTTTTACCATGTTCTTGGAATTCCAACCTGGGCCTTGAGACTTGGATGCAAGCCTCACCCGCCCCGGGCTTAGGTCTTTAACTCAGTTTTCTGAGTGACTTAGATGCTCTTTAGTCAAGTAAAACACTGGCTGTAGGGTGTGCTGATTTTACATTCTCTTTTTATCTGGGGCATTTATGCACTGTACATGGTTCTGGGTTTCAGAGGTACACTTTTGTACACACATACTGTCCTCCCTCACCCCTGTCTCTGCTGTCCTCTTCTGTGTCCCTTTCATCTCCTGGCTGACTTAACCTCTACTTTGATGTCACATCCACCTGTGTGGTTCTACAAATCTATGCAAAATCTAGGAGCCAGAAATGAGAGAAACATGATATTTTTTCCCCCTGAGATTGCTGTGGGAAAATCCTCTTGTACAGTTTAAAGATTTGGCACTCAAATAGGTTTAGTAAAACACTGATTGTTCAGTAGCCAGTCAGGAAGTATAGGCTGGGTGACCAAACTAAGGATGATAGGAAGGAGAAGGGCGGAGTCAGGAGTCACCAGTCAGATGCAGAGGGAGCAGGAGGTGAATGTGCCATGCTAATAAAAGTACTGCCACGTGCAGAGCATAAATAGAAATATGGGTTAGCTTAAAATGTAAGAGCTAGTTAGTAATAAGCCCAAGCTATTGGCTTTATATTTATTTATAAATGATATAATTTATATTTTATTTATAATTAATATAAACCTCTGAGTGTTTATTCGAGAGTGGCTGTGGGACACACAGACTTCCGAATATATGAGATGGCTTCATTCACTTAGCATGGTGGTCTCTGGTTGTATCCACTTTCCAGCATTTGAAACAACCTCATTATTTTATGTGGCTGTATGCATACTCTGAATTTCCTTAATCCACCCTTTATTGATGACAGCAAGGTTGGTTCCATTTCTCAGCTGCTGCAGACAGTGCACAGTCAACAGGGATGTGCAGCTATCTGTGTGCTGTGTTGGCTTGTCTCTTCTGGTGAACACCCAGGACTGGTAGAGCTGGCTCATGATTGATCTTGAGGCAGGAAAGGCTGGTTTGGCTCATAGTGGCAGAGGTGTCAGCAGGGTCCCATGGCTCCATTGCTTTCTGGCCTGTGGAAAGGGAGAAGGCATGGCAGAGGAGGGGTCACCTCGGGGCAGGCAGGGAGAAGAGAGAGATAGAGAGACTAGAGGGGGCATGGCCCAGGCTGGGGCTGTGGCTGCGCTGGTGAACACTTGTGTAGCGTGACTGAAATTCTGTCCTTAGCATCCCATGAACTGGATGTGGTGGTACCCACCTGCTCTCAGGAAGTGGGGGTCAGAAGATCAGAAGTTCAGTGTCATCCTTGGCTACATAGTGACTCAAAGCCAGTCTGGACTACATGAGACCCCGATGTCTTCACTGTCTCTTTTCCTTCATTCTCCCAAAGTCTCTACTCCGTCCCAATGATGTCATCAGACAATAAATCCTTCTGGAGACTAGTGTGTGGGTGATCTCAGTGCCCCCAGAATCCTGCCACTTCATAGTGATCAGTCCCAGCCTTGGACCAAGCTATCAATACCTGGGTCTTTTCAGGGAAGGTATCCCATCCAAATCACACACACACAGTCTAGTTTGAGCTCTGTGTGCAGCCACAAGAAGCCCACAAAGGTTGCTTGCCTGTGCATTCTCCACTCCTCTGCTCTCACCTCATTCCTGAGTCCGACAGCCTCCTGTATCGGAGGCTCCATCCTCCCTAAGCACAGGTTCTGTGGGCTGGGGACTGCTGTCTCCCAGAGTCATGGTCCTCAGCTCAGGAGCGAGCAGCATGGAGCTGCTGGGGGTGTGGGAGCAGCTTCCACACGGTGTGGCTTTAGAACTCGAGTCTGCAGGGAGGGGAGAAACAGACAGTGAAGGAGCGAGTGAGGTCTCAGGTTGCAGGCATCCTGTGGGCTCCTCTGGAGAGCATGCCCACAACCACTGTGGTGGGTTTCTGCATTGCCCATGTGCTCCCTGGTTTTGTTCCCAAATGGTCCTCAGGGATGATTGGGAGTCCACTCTGTGTGCTGTGATTACCATTAACGAAACTGCCTTGGCTTATTGATAGGGCAGAACTTAGGTAGGCGAGGAGAACTGGACTGAATGCTGGGAGAAAGAAGGGTGGAGTCAAGGGGACGCCACGGATCTGCTGCCTAAGATTGACGTGCTGAAACTGTGCTGGTAGGCCACGATCTCGTGGTGATGCACAGATTAATAGAGATGAGTTAAATCAAAATGTAAGAGTTAGCCAATAAGAAGTTAGAGCTAATGAGCCAAGCAGTGATTTAATTAATAGTTTCTATGTGATTATTTCGGGTCTGAGCGGCCGGGACGAACAAGTGGATCCTTGCAACACAGGGAGACTTAAGCTTCCCCACCCCCCACATTTAATTAGTTAATTGATTTAGTGTATGTGTTGGGTGTGGGTGGATTGGATGACAATGTGCAGAAATTGGTTCTCTCCTTCAACCCTGTGGGCCCTGGGCATCAAACTCAGGTCTTCAGACTTGGCAGCAAATGCCTTTACCTGCTGAGCCATCTCGCTGGCCCAGGGACACTTAGAGACTACATCCCATGCCTCTGTCCACATTCTCCAGGTCTCCCCAGTTCGTCTCAAATAAGATGACAACTTTGCTCACACCTTCAGGCTCTGAGAGACCAGGCAGGCACCCACTAAGGCTTTGGGCTCTCGGGTGCCAAGCCTTCTGTTTCCCAGACGACTGTCCCTTGTGCTGCTCCTACTTCCCACCTCAGATCTTGGCACCTGCCGTCTCTACACTTGCAAGCTCCTCCCCAGGACTGTTAGTTGGCAGGTCGCTTGCTCGCTTGCTCGTGCCTTCTCCACTTCTCCGTCCCTGTTGGTTCCCTGTCTCAGCTCTCTCACAAAGCCTCCTTGACTGCAAGACTTACACCTCTCCTCTCTCGGAGCAGCCATGACTTACCCATCCTAAAGGGCTCCTTGTCTGAGCCTGGTGACTGTGCCCCACAGCTATGGCCTGTTCTCACTGTGTGAGCCATACGGCATTCCGCCACTGGGATGGGGGTGGGGGGCTCCACTTTACATCCAGCCATCCTGGTCCCTCCGTGCTGATATTACCTCCACTCATGGGACTGGTTATGTATGATTCTCTTACTCCAAATCCCAGAAGTCTCTGCTTCTGTCCTGCCCAAAACTTTCCTTCAGCTTGCATTACTTGGTGTAGATGCCTGCATCCTCCCTGAAGCCTGGAGCTGCATGCTGGCTTTTGGTCTGCTCGCTGAGTCCCACTGTCTGCTCCAGGCCATTGCCTGATGGTTGATTGCGGGATGAGTGTGTGCAGCTGGCACTCATGCAGACACCTCCTGTGCCCAGGCTCACCTGTGTCTTCCTTTGGCTCCTTGCTGCTTCCAGACTCCCCAACTTCACCCTGTGAAGCAGTGCGGATGGTCATCTTGTTGCTGTTGCCGATGGTGGCATCCTCCAGCCAGGAGGATTTGATGTGGACTTTCTGGGTGCTGACCCCCTCGGGGTGAGGGCCTGGCTCAGGTGTTTGCATGTGGAAAGAAGTTCCTGCATCAGCAGAGGTAGCCGAGACTGCAAGCAAACCAAAGAGAGAAGAAGGGAGAACTGCACAGGGACCTGGCCATGACACCCACCCTGGCTGTCCCAGCCTCGGGGCTGCTCTCACCAGTGACCTTGCCAATCTGGTTCATAACCTTTGCCTAGCCACCACCTCCATGTCCTGGCACATGTCCTCAGTGGCCTGCAACTGCCCCCTGCCCCTGCCTCACCCCTGAGCTCAGTAAAACTACTCTGGCTTCGGCATCTTCTAGGCCTCCAGAGCCCCTCCTCTTGCCTGCGGCCAGTTCCCAGGTGGCCATCAAGGACACGCTGTCCCATTGTGGTTCATTTCTTTCCTCTCCCAGGCTCACTGCAGCATCTACTGGACCCTGATGTCTCCTCTTCACTTTTATACTCAAAAGTCAGGAAACGTCCATGCTCAGCTTCCCCATCCCCTGCTCGTAGACTCCCTTCACTCCCAGAAACTGTCACCAAGGCCACGGCAGAGCTCTTTGCTGTCCCTGCTGCCACGCCCTGCCTCACGGACCAGTTCTCTATTGAGACACTCCTCTGTAGTTCTATTGGTCACCTGAGACTGCTGATCATCTAAGAATCTACAGTTCCTGGCAGGCCTCTGGCCAGCTCCTCTGGTCACTGTGCAATGGTACACTGACTGATGGCCTCCCTGTTCCTGTCCTCAGGCCACCACGCAGGATTTAGCCTGTCCTGTGACCTTGCTTCCTCCCACTCAGCCTCCTCTCTGCAGTGATGACTGAGATTTGCTGTTCATTGGTGCTGCTGGGAGACTGGGAACCGCTAGGGCCAGACCACAAAGTTGAACATGCTGTTCAGCGGTACCCCTCCCATGGACCGGGGTGGAATGAATTTCCCATCATGCTTCTCTTCTCACAGAGACTGACTTCAGGTCCTTTCTGGGTATGTGGTGTCGGGGAGGCCATGCTACCTGGGGGACTGCCAGTAAAGCTGCCAGCAGGGTGTTCCTCCGCAGGGTGCTGCACTGGGTCCCTCGGAAGGCTCATCTCATTGCCGTGGCCCAGCTGCACACGGCGGAGCAAGGACTTTTCCATGTGGATGTGCTGAGCTCCCCAGGCACCAGGTGGGGTGTTCTGAGAAGAGGGGTCATCTGGAGCAGGTCGCAGGAGAGGATGGTGGGGGCTGGGACCTGGGAAGGGCAGAGCATTGAATTTGCTAGAGACGATTCTAGATTGTTCTGTCCTGAGGCTGGGGAACCTGTGGTTGGCAGCTGGGCTCAGGGTACTGTTGGGGTACTGCAGATCCAGGGAACACATGCCACCTGCCTCCTGGCTCTGCACAACCTTTGACCCCCATCAAAAGAAAGTCCCCTGCGTGGGAACGAGTCCTCCATGCCTCTTGACAAGACAGTTCGGGTCTTCACCCCCGTTTTTTTTTTTTTTTCCTGGTACACAACTTCAGACTCATTGTTATGGTTTTCAAATTAAAGGAAGGCAAAAGCTTTTCAACACATTTGGGTCTGAAAAAAATGGCGAACTGCTTCCCATCATAAGTAAAATAGACAGGATGGCTATCAGAACCAGGAGAGTCATGGCAGGGGAAACTGAGGCCTGGGGCAGAGCAGACTTCTCCCAAGGATTGGTGCATAGAGAGAATCTAGATTGGGAGCTGATGCTCTCGTTCGTGGGTGACAGGACTAGAGTGTGAGGTGGCCCCACACCCTCTAAGACACAAAGCCTATTACAGAGGAAACATTCTCCAGACAGCTCCAACCTTCATCAAAACCAGGATGCTAAGGCTGGGGGATGGCTGGGAGTAGGTAAGAGCATTGCTGTGCAAACATAGGACCTGAGTGTGGATCTGAGCACCCACATAGTAAGCCAGGCATGGGCACGTGGACCTGCACCCCTCATGCTGGGTGACACAGACGGGGTCACTGGGGCTTACTGTCTGCAAGGCTCGCTCCAGGTTCTGTGTGGCACCCCTCTGGGGGGAGTAAGGTGGGAATTGATGTGGGAGTGATTTCTTATTAATAAAGAAACTGCCTAGACCCATTTGATAGGCTAACCCTTAGGTAGGCTGAGTAAACAGAACAGAATGCTGGGAGAAAGGAGCTGAGTCAAGGAGTCGCCATGATTCTCCCACTCCAGGCAGACGCAGGTTAAGATCATTCCTGGTAAGCCAGCTCGTGGGCTACACAGATTAATAGAAATGGGTTAGATCGATATATAAGAGCTAGCCAATAAGAAACTGAAACTAATGGGTCAGGCAGTGTTTAAAAGAATATAGTTTCCGTGTAATTATTTCGGGGCATAAGCTAGCCATGTGGGCGGCCGGGTGCCAGGGACGCAGCCCCGCCGCTCCTATTTCAACAGGGAATGACAGAACAGGACACCTGATATCCTTCTCCGGTTCTGAATAGACTTCAGTAAACACACACACACACACACACACACACACACACAGAGAGAGAGAGAGAGAGAGACAGAGAGAGAGAGAGAGACAGAGAGAGAGAGAGAGAGAGAGAGACAGAGAGAGAGAGAGAGAGAAAGCCACTGAGTACACGGATGACCCCATCTTTTCAGGGCAGCTACGTGAGGGAGAGAATGGCAGTTACCCTCCCACCACATCCTGATGAGAGGAGGGAGGAGGGAGCTGAATTGTTCTCTCTCTCACACACAGATTAGATCTCATCAAGCAGAAGGAAAACAAAGGGATTCCAGGTGAGGTGTGCTCCAGGCTTCTGAGAAGAGCCAGGCCTGAGGCCTTGTACTCCTTCCTCACTTTCTCCCCCGACTTGGGCACAACAGCAGTCCCAGCAAGGCCCCTCCTCTTACCTCTCTGAGCATAGGCTATCTGCCTTAGCATGGTGTTCCCATGCCCGATCTGGATGGCTTCTGACTCAGAGATGGAGATATGGTTGTTGGCTCCTTGTTGGCAGATCATGTTGATGGGATTCTGCTGGTAAATGATCGCAGCGCACTCTTGTCTCGTTCCAGAGTGAGCTAGAGAATAATATTCCATTGAGTCCCCGTGCTTTACATCCTCACTGTCACTCTTCCTCCAGCAGCCGGAAGCCCTATGGGCACCGGGAGCGAGGCAGGCAGGCGAGCCAAGGCCAATAGCTGGGTGGCCTTCCCTCCCTAAGCCTGCAACCATCTCTGCCTCCTGGAACCCCTCCCAAAAGAGTATCCATAAAATCTGACCCTAAGGGAGAGATCGCTAAGTGGTTAGAGCATTGGCTGCTCTGCCAGAGGGTGCAGCACTCGGTACCCACATGGCAGCTCACAGCCATCTGTCACTCCAAATCCAGCCAGGAGATCCAGTTTCCTCTTCTGGCCTCTGCAGGCACTGCATCCATGTGGTGCATTTACATACATGCAGGCAAACACTCATAACACGTAAAATAAAAGACATAAATCTAAAAGCAAAACGAAACAATCTCACACTAAACCATCTAATCCTTACCCTTGACATTTTCAACCTGACCCCAGATGGTCCGGTCTTGATCCTTAACCTTCCTGACCTGAACTTTGAACTCTCCAACCTGTCCATAGAACATCCACCCCTGACCCCTGACCCCCCCCCGAAAAAAAAACAATTTTGACCTCTCATACCCAGCCCTTGACCTTTCCGACTTGAGTCATAGATCATCCACACCTTCCCGTCATAGCTCAGAAGGTGACTGTTTCTCATCCTGTACAGGTCTGGGTTCACCTCTTTGGCCGTATTCATGCCCAGAGCCTTGGCAATATGCAGGGCCCTACAAGGTCCATTGGCCTCCAGGAATCTGAAAATTCTATCATCTGCAAAGTTAATAGGGCAGGCATTAGTAGGGCCCTGGGCTTGCAAGGGTCTACCACCCGCTGGCTGTAGCCTGGGACACGTATGAAGCCCAGGGCCTCTGTCCTGTTTTATCAGAGGGACATGGTGATACAGTGGTCATCTGGAGACCAGATACATGAATGAGGCTCTCACCCTAGCGGCTGGCTCAGGCGTATCAGCACCTGGAGAAGAAATCACTTCTTGGCCATTTAGAGCCTTTGGCTTCTAACAGTGAGTCTGGCCTCTGAGATGCCGCCGTGGTGGATGTGATCCCAAATTCCCCTTGTGCCCCTTAGAATGGTTTGGGGGGGGAGGGGGCTATGGTGTACACTGAGCTGAAGGCCAGGACTCTCTGGAGCTGTGCCTACATCTTGGGGCTGGACGATGAAAGATGTGTCCGTTGGAGACAGGCGACACTCTGCTCCACTGAGCCCCCGGAACACTTCTACTGGAGAACTAGGGGACAGTACATTAGGGGTCCCAGGGTTGCCTGTCTGCTTGGGTCACAGCCGCTGGCTGCCGAAGGGTGAGGTCTTGAGACTGATTCCTTTTGTCTCCAGCTGTGGGAGTTACTGAAGGCAAGGTGGCCTTGGGTACAACATCAGCATTTGGAACTGTGGGCCCTCTGCTCAATGGCTGTCAAAGTCACCCGAGGGCTCTGAGTGAATCCCTGCCTCTGTACTCACTGTGGCTGTGACTTTTGCCTGGACTGTGTCTTTGCTATTGCTGGTGTCTATTGTACCCCTACCATGTGCAAGCCCTAGGCTCTACCTTAGTTCCACTGGCCAGAAGGAATCAAGGGACAGAGGAAGACAGAGCTCAGATTTGAAACCAAGCCTGAACCTCAACTTGCCCATTGCCAAGATGGCTCTTGAGGGGAGTCTACTCTGCCCCTAAATGACAGATTACCGAGACTTGGCTGAGCGGTGGGGTCCTCAGGGACTGCGGGAGCCTCGTCTGCAGAAGTGCTCCCGCCTAAGCACCAGGTTGAAGGGGCTGGGGAGGATACTTTGCCCTCCTTCTTCAGGCGGTAAAGGATTGAGTTGACTATTTTCTTGGGCGCTTGGCACTTCTTTACCAGCTGGCCAATCTTCACAGAGCCACCGACTTCACTCAGTGCCTCTAGGATCTTTTGCTCCAGATTGTCTCAGGAAGGAACAGAGAGAAGAGCTAAGTCAAGCCTGGTCCCCTTGGGAGGCTAGCATGTAAGCTCCAGAGGCAAGGAATATCTGAGAGCCCAGAGCAGAGGAGGCACCCATGACCTGGGCCAAGCAGACAGCATCGAGGACATCACTCAGATGCAAGAGTGTCAGTCAGAGTGGCCCTGGCCCCACAGCTGGATGGCCGGATGATCATGGGGCAGAGGAGTGTGCAGGTTGTCCTGTGTGCAGGTGTGGAACCCCCTGAGGGAAGGAACCCTCAGCTCTCGGATGATGGAGCAAGAAGGAGCAGTACGGAGCCAAGCCTGGCCCAGAACTCCTCCATGGTGTCTAATGCCTGTCCCAGATTGCCCAGGGAGCCTCTTTCTCTCCAGTTTAGTACCCACATAGATGATAAGGGTATTCCCAGGTCAGGAGCCCAGTAGACATGAGAAACAGGTCTCCCTTCCCATGCCTAGTGCATCAAAAACCCTGAAAATCAAAACCCAGCTCAGATATCACCCACTTTCTTTTTCTCCCCAACCCCAGCCTCAATGCCATCTTCCTGATGGCATTACTAATCTCTCAGGTGACCATCAACTCCAGAAGGGTTCCCTCCAGTACCCTCTACCGAGCGGTCAGATGTACCTCTGCTAGCCTCCTCCGTGTTAGCCACCTCTGTGCCCCACCCCAAGAGCCACCCAATTTCCTCATGTTCCTCTGGCCCCTTCTGTTTTCCTGCTTACCCATGTGCCTGCTTTTACTGTTCTTTTTCCCTCTTGAGACAAGGTCCCACCTAATATCTCAGGCTGGCCTAGAACTCACAGCAATCCTCCTGCCTCAGCTGCCTCCCCCTCCAACCCTGATGGGATTATTGGGCTGAGCTTCCACTCCTAGCTTGACTTTGCCTTGTCTTGCAAAACCTTTTCTCTGCTGGGGCCTGTGCCCTGCTGTGGGCTCTCCTGCCTTCCTCGCCCCACTGGCCCCTAAGGGCATGCAGGCAGAGCTTTTTCTGAAAAGGGAAAAGGAAGGGCTGGGTGGAGCTGATTGGCTGGCAAGGATAGTATTAGGGAGTCGCAGTGGCCAGGTGAGGGTTAGTTCCTGGTCTTCTCTGCCTGGCCCTGATCCTGCCACACAGCCCAGTCTCTCCGTAACAACTTTGAGCATAGTGTTAGGGATTGAAAGAGGTAATTTTGGGGGCTGGAGAGATGGCTCAGGGTTTAAGAGCACTGAGTGCTCTTCCAGAGGTTCTGAGTTCAATTTTCAGCAACCACATGGTGGCTCACAACCACCTAGATGAGATCTGGTGGTGTTCTCTTCTGGAATGCAGGCAGAACACTGTATATATAGTAAATAAACGAATTTTTTTTTAAAAAAAGTTTAAAAACAATGAAGAAAAGTGGCAAAGTAAATCCTGTCTACAGTCTCACAGTCTTGCCTTGTACAGTCCTGCACAATAGCCTGGTCTAGCACAGCCCCATAGCCTGGTCTAGCACAGCCCCATAGCCTGGTCTAGCACAGCCCCATAGCCTGGTCTAGCATAGCCTGCACCCAGGAGAAGAGCAAGAACATAGAATCAGGGCCAAATCTTATCAAAACAAAGTCCCCTCTCACAGCTCAGAGCCCGAGGCCTGTCACAGGCCTTAGTGACCTCATCTATGAGGTGAGAGTGTCCACTTTTGCCTGAGGACTGTTACCATGTCAAGAGCCAAAGCATGAGATGAAGGATCTGGGACACAGGATCCCTGAAGCAAGCTGGCTTCCTGTAATGCCCCTCTTCCTGAGTTCTGATGTCCTCAGAGGACTGCTGCTGTCTGAGCCAAGGAAAGTACTAGAAGGCGTCATAGAAACCCCACCCAGTGCCACCGCTGCTGGGTGGGAAGAAAGAGGCCCGGCTTACCTCCTGTGCTCAGGTCAGCAGCAGCTTCTGCCATGGTCACAGCAACCTCAGGGCACTGTTAGGGCTGGGGTGACCGGCTCCCGTACTGTGGCCAGGTCTGTGACGGAGTCTACAGGAGAAGAATGGCTTCTCAGACCTGAGAGACACCATCTGTTTCCACCCCGGAAACAAGAACCCATCTGGCTCCATCCACCCAGCTTTCTGCAGAAACAGAAAATGAAACTTTGGTGCGGTTCTCGAAAGTCGTGTTGAAATCAGGGTGGACAAAGCAAGTTGGAGCCGAACTGTGTGACATGGGAGAGAGGAGCCTTGGCCTCTGGGGTGGGGACTGCCCACCTAGGCTCCCACCTGGAGGGCAAGACCTTGAGCAGAGCCCTATGGGAGCCCCAGAAGGATGAGAATGGTGACCTAGGAAAAGGCGCCTATTGTTAAGTCCCCTACTTGCCCACAGGGCAGGGCTAGTACTGCCTACCCCCACACCGTCTAGAAAAAGAGCCCCTCACTTTTATAACTTCTCAGAGAGGTTAGTGATCTTCCAACAGCTCAGACGTCACTGTTCCAATTACAGACGAAGAGATCGAACTCACAGCTCAACCTACAATATCCCGGCATCTGGGTCCCAGCTGCAGGTGGGGGCTGGGGTGCACAGGGCAGGACGAGAGCAATAAATGGAGACCAGAAGGAGGTATGGGTGTGCCTACAAAATGTTTGCAAAGCAAGCAGCAGGTGGTAAGCCTCCTCTTAAGGAGCCTGGAAGTCACCGGACAGGCCAGGACCAGGCCACTTCCACACAGCCGATTCCATGAGCCTACGCCTGGGGAAACTTTAAAATTTCCAAGTATTTTTATGACTTCCAGGGGAAAACCAGAGCCTGCAGAAGCAGCCAAGGAAAACAGCAAACTGTGCCGCCCGTTGCGGCCCAAAATAAATTGGTCACCATTTTAACCGCTCTCAGCTGAGCCCTTTCAGGGACTTTTCTCAGGCTCCCTAGAGGGGCTATTCGGAGACAGGCCACCAGGTGGCGCCTACGCATAAACTGGCTCTTGCCTGAGGGTCTCGCTTGGTCCCTGGACAGTGGCGCTGGGCTTCAGGACTTGCCTGCCCTGCTGGCTTCTTTCGTCAGCATGCTTTATTTCCCTACCCTCCTCTTCCTTATGTTAGCTGTCCTAAAAGGAGCTGGAGTCTAGTGCTTCTCAAGCTTTCTACGGCCAGTACCCTTTAATACAGTTTCTCATGCTGTGGTGACCCCAACCATAGAATTATTTTCGTTGTTACTTCATAACTGTAATTTTGCTACTGTTATGAATTGTAATATAAATATCTGTGTTTTCCACTGGTCTTAGGCAACCCTGTGAGAGGGTCAGTCTACCCCAAGGAGTCGTAACCCACATGTTGGGAAATGCTGGCCTAGCTGGATTTTTGTCCAGCCCCAGGAGTCAGCTCCCCACTGGGCCTCATTCCCTGAGCTCTGCCCTTGCTTGGTGATGGCCTCTGTGTGCTGACACCCCCGCCATGCAGCAGGCCAGGCAGGGACTTAGGGTTACTTACCTGTTTCGTCCAGGACTCTTATATGCTGACAACGTGTGGATGGCCCCTTCCTGTCTCTGAGGTCCCCAGCGTGAAGCCCCACCATGCCTCTTTTGGTTTCTCTGACATGTTCCTGGGGAACAGCAGCAGACTCCACAGTGGGGTCCGGTGGGGAGCCCAGGAAGAGGATGGGCAAGGAGTGGGCTGGGCCTCCTTCCAAAGCTGGCTGGAGCGGGGACCTGCTCCTTTGATGCTGTGGGAAGCTGAGCCTCAGTTTCCTTAACTAGAAAAACAGATAATGAGAAAGAAAAGGCATTCTAACCCACACCCTGCGTGTGCTCGCAAAATTCGCACGAGCAGAGATTATATCTGGTGCTTCTCCACAGCCGGACTGCAGGCTCCAGACTAGGCAAACGCTCTCGCACCGGAAATGGGGGTAGATGAAGCTTAGGTTCTCAAGTACCTGGCCTTCCTGGCTTCCACCAAGTCAGAACCCAACCCGGGGGCTCTGCTGCGAACACCCAGCACTCGCTGCTCTTTTCTCTTTTTCATTTTTGAGACGGGGTCCCACTCTGTCATCAAGCCTGGCTTCGAATTCTTGATCCTCCTAGGTCACCTCTCGGGTCTCAAGACTGAATCATAATGCCTACTGGGAGTTCTTCTCCTTTCTCCTCTTCCTTCTTTTTTTGTTCTATCTATCTATCTATCTATCTATCTATCTATCTATCTATCCATCCATCCATCCATCCATTTATCTATCTATTGAGACAGGGTTTCTCTGTGCAGCTCTGTCTGTCCTGGAACTTGTTCTGTAGACCAGGCTGGCCTTGAATTCAGAGATCCACCTACCTCTGTCTCTCAAGAGCTGCGATTAAAGGTGTGTGCCACCACTGCCTGGCCAGAATTCTTACTTCTAAAGGTTTGGATTATCTTATATTCTTCGTCTTTGTTTAAGAAAACTTTCAAGATAATTTCCAATACTGGAGTTACACTAGCTTCCTCAGCAGTAGACTAGGCAGATGCACCTTTCTTTCTCGTGCATGGAGCAGGTGGCAGGAACCCGGATTTGGTGCAACCACCCAGCTTCTTTTCAAACTGTTGCTCTGCCATTTGTAGCCCATGTGCCTGGGCTTGCCTTATGTTTCAGAAGGGTTGCTGGAGTTTCACCTATCACACGTGCATTCCTTCTCACAGGAAGGAGTAAAGGACAGGTATCCTTGGCAGCTTCAGGGGTCAGCTGAATACAGAGCTATCTGAGGGAGCATCTGTAGGGAGATTGCCCAGATCTGATTCCTGATGATTGACGTGCGAGGACCCAGACCACTGTGGGAGGCATCACTCCTAGGCTGCTTGTCCTGGGCTGTCTATGAGAAGCTGATTGAGCATGAGCCAGGAAGCAGCACCCTCTCTGGTCTCTGCTCCAGGTTCTCACATGGCGTCTCTCTGGGACGGGCTAGGACGTACAGGCTGAAACAAACCTTTCCCTCTCCAGCTGTTTGTTTGTTAGCTTTTTTACAATGTTGATCACAGCAGCAGAACCAAACAAATGCAGTAGGTAGCCCCTTTTAGAGAACACATCTTGCAGGCTCCACATACATCCTAACCGACAGGACTATGATGCTGACACAAAAGGAATTCTGCGAAAGGCGGTCTGTATTCTGGACCACTGTGTGCCCAGATAAAATCGGGGTCACAGTACTCCAGATCACAACAATATCTATCACAATGGATATCGGCAGAGACCCGGGTGTCCTTGCCAATTCAAGGCTCTTCCTCAAAGACAGAGCAAGGACATGCCCCTTTGTGTCTGCCCTGAGGTCATCCCCTGCCTCACCCAGCAGTGCCCAGCCTCTTTCTCTAGCAGACGCTAAGCTGAGTCCTAAGAAGCTGCCTTCGCAGCTCTGCACACTCAGAGCCTCTGGTGGGGTTCAAGGCCAATGGGGAAGAAAGGAAGGGGCTTCCTCCTCCAGGCTAGGAAGGGCCCTGAGATACAAGATGACCGGCCAAGCTGATCTCCTTTTTCTCCTGAAGAGCAAGAGTACACTCCTTCCAAATGGCTCCTGTTTTTCTAGAAACTATTAGAACTCTCCGCCCAAAGCTGGGGATAATTACATGTTACTGATCCCAAGTCTTTAGGTTTTGTGATCTCTCTTTTAAAAGAGATATATTTTTACCACATACTGTGTTGGCGAAACCCATCTCCTTCCTCCCCATAACCAGACTCTGGGGAAGAAGGAAGGCCGCCAGCTAGGTTTGGTCGGAGATCAGACATGGAAGACGACAGAAAGTGGACTGCCAGGTGTCTCTGGTCCCTGTCTAGAGCAAAGAAAAAAGATCTTTTATGACATGTGAGATGACACCCTCTTCAAGTCCCTGGGGGTGCAGCTCCTGCAAGATAGAGCAATTCGGTATCCTCCTCTGTCCACTGGAGTTGGGCACGCGTGGGCATCTCCACTTGTTAGCCCTGGGCCATGAACAAGGCTCTGCTCTTTATGGGTCTCGGTTTCCCTTTGACAGTGGGATCCCACAGTTTTTACCCTGGGGCTGGTTGCACCAGGTCTCTTTGGGGAGCTAAGGATGTGGTATAGGTCGCTTGCCTTTCTATCACCGTCCCCAGCTGTCTCGCAGAGGAACAAAGCCCTATTTGTCTGGTCATGTACCAGGTTAGACCACAACTGGCCATCTGCCAGTTTAGACACCTGGTTTGTGTCAGCAGTGTGTGACACCTGGGTTGGAAGGCCAGGCACCCATCCAGGCTCTCAGAGAAGCCATTTCCCAGGGAGTCATACAAGGCTAGAGAAGGCAATAGGGATAGTCATCTGCAGGAAGTGGGCCAGAGGACAGGGAAGGTGGTCACTGGTCAGACCTCGTGTCTGAGGTTTTATCCCCTTCCTCACCGCTGATCGTGTTTCAGAATCTCTTTTCCATATTTCCCATACCCAGGCAACTGCCCTATACCTGACTCATACCTGAATTTGAATTTTATAGTTGCAACATCGTGTTTGACTTATTTTATTTTTTTGTGTTGCTTTGAGACGAGGTCTCTCTCTCTTCCGGCTTCAGATTTGCAGTAAATCTTCAGCCTCAGCCTCTAGAGCACAGGGATCACAGGGATACACATCTGGATTTCACTGAGTGCGTGTGTGTGGCATGGAGTGTCGGGTGTCCTCTAGATCACTGAGTGTGTGTGTGATCACTGAGTGTGTGTGTGCGTGCACACAGAATGTCGGGTGTCTTCTAGAATTCTCCACTTTATTTTTGAGACATGATCTGTCACCGACCGCAAAGCCCACTGATTTGCCAGACTAGCTGGCGAGCAAGTTCTAGGATCTCCACATTTTGCCAGTCCCAAACACTGGCGTGCTGGAGCTGCAGGTGTGAGTTGCCACATCTGCTTTTATGTGGGTTCTGGGGATTTGAACTCAGGTCCTTATGCTTGTATGGCAGGCACTTTACTACCGAGTCATCTCCAGCACCCCCCCCCCCCCCATGGACTGTTAAAAAAACCCAACATTTTATTTTACAAATTATCTGCCCACTAGAAATTCACTTCGTCAAAGGTGGCCATGGTCTCCTCGCCAAGTATCACTCTTGGGAATGCTTACTGGGTGAGAATATCCCACTATAAATTCTCTTCAACTATAGCTAAGT